CACCCCTTCCCGTCTCCCATTCCTCCTCCTACTCCCTACCCCAAACCTTACCCTCACCCCATCCAACCCCTCCCCTCACCCCATCCACCCCCTCCCATCATTAACTCCCTCATTGCCCACAGTTGGCAGTACCGACGCCTCAGTTAAAACGTCATTGGCTATGGTACTACCACTGCCGTGCCCACAAGGAGCACTAAAACTAATCATAAAGTTTTGCTGGTGCAAAGGCTTAAGTTTGAATAAATTTAATATAATTTTAAAAATAAACAAATTTGTTCATTTTAACGGGTTTGTTTATTTGCATACTTCAAGTGTAATCACTGTAGGATAATTCCAATTGACTACTTTTTGCGACGAAATCCAAGCACAAGTTAAAAGAAGACAAACTAAGCAATAATATGTAAGCATCTGGTCTGCTATTGTTTTTGTTGGCCTTATTTCTGCATATAAAGATGGGTTGTTGTTTTTTTTTCAAAATCACTGAAGGTCGGTAATTAGGTTTCCTTGACTCCACCAAGCAAGTTCGAGTGGCTGAGCGGAAAAATAACAAAACAAAACAACAACAACCACAACCAAAACACAGTTTGAGAGTCGGCAAGGGGGGAGTTTTGTCTACACGAAGATCGTCTCTGCGAGATCAGCTCACTGTCCTTTTACGTTGTGGGGTTAAAATTGTCGACGGTTATTTTAAGCTGTCAGTGGAGAGGGGATAACAACAACAGATGTTTCAGTCTTAGTAATAGTTTTACGGCGCTTGCAACACAATAAGATCATTAGAGGTGTTACAAGAGAGTAACAAACATAAAAAAGGAGGAGAGATAAAGACGATAGTTGTTTTAATAGGAAAGAAGGAGCAAACCACACCAGAGCATCAGCCAACCACCCATGACGATAGATCTACCAAAAATCTAAAATCAAACTAAAAAGTAGCATACTATGAATTACTTTTTCCTCTATAAATTAAGATTTATGGAACGCTGAAATACGCTTTTTGTCGAAGATTTGCCTTATCACCCAATTCTCGGGCCTAGCAGTGAAGGGGTTAATGTGTACGTGTTTAAAAACCCGCAGTCAAAGCGACCTTGTATTACAACACTGAGTAACATTGAAACGAATTGATACGAGCGTACACATTAAAAGCCCGCCACCTTTTGTCATTTGAAAGGCCGGAGCCCATGCTTCTGATTCAAAACTGCTAATCTGCTACTGAAACGAGACACATTGGAAAAGCGAAAAAAAGTTTTATTGCTCAGAGATGATGATGATGATGATGATATTGATGATGATGATGATGATGATGATGATGATATTGATGATGATGATGATGATGATGATGATGATGATACATTTGACAATCTAATTCTATTGAAATTTTTTGAAATGTTTTTTTGTTGTTGTCGTTTTGTTTTGATTTGTTTTGTTTATTTGTTGTTTTTTTTATAGCTGTGACTTCCCATAGCTGGTTTTTGTTCTTACCAATCAAATCGATACCAGTCTGTTCTCAATAAAGGGCACAATTACAATTCAGTCATAGAATCATGATCTCGTGTATGCCCCCCCCCCCCTTCCGAGGGTTCAGAGTCTACGGTCTTGTTTTGTTCAGCTGCACGTTTCAAGAAATAAGACAAATCCGCAAAATACATACCAAGCAAACTGCTTTACTCATAAATACATGAAGTTTAGTTTTATCAAAACTTAATTATTGATATTCTTAGCAATCAGGAACATATTTGGCCAAAAGTGAAAAGACCTCACACTGTTCAAAGTGATGTAGCTGGTTTAGTATTATAGAAAAGAAAGTGAGACTCTGCTACACCTCTTCGACAGCCACTGCGCTGGCTTCCTGGTAAGAAGAGAATTATGAACAAGTTAGTCACTCTCTGTCACAAACGCTTGAATGATAATACGGCACCATGTTTATCTAATTTGTTGAAACTGAACATTTTAGCTCGCAGTTGAAGGTATTCAGCTGACAAAAAAGTAAACTTTTGTCATCTGTGAAACTTAAAACAATGGTCAAAAAGACATGAAGTATACTATGGCCCCAAAATCTCGAATGTTTTGCCCAGTACTTTAAGAGAGATCAAATCTTTTTATTCATTCGAATATCATCGAAAGTCATTTTTGTTTTTAGATTAATAACAACAACAATAATAATAACAACAACAAAAACAACAACATTATTATGTGTCATCTCGATATTCGTTCATTCTTTTTCCTTCTCTATTCTTGTCACTGAGCCAAACGATCCATCATCGTATTGATCCTTTGAATATAGAGGTCATACTGTAAAGAAAAAAAGCAACCTCAAAAGGTACTAAACATTCGATGCTCAAATCAAACCAGAGATGACTAGAATCTACATCTATTTGCTTTTCCACAACGTCCTCGTTGTTTCGCCGAACAAGGAACAACTGAGGTGTTGAATAAATAGCTTTCGTACTTCTCAAACAATTTGTAATGGCGGGAGAAACACCACAGAGGCGGCACAACTCATTGAGAGCATAAATGAATCACACCTCAGCGGCTATAAAAATAGGCTCAAATACCGAGTGCAGTCAGAACCACATCAAGCAGAAGTTTTGTCTCCAGCTGTAGAAATTTACTCATCTAAACTCTAGACATCTACAGCTATCAAAGATTCCTTCTTTTTGAAACCTCCACCAGAGCGATGATGAAGTTCCTGAACATTCTTGTGTGCTGCATAGCGTTGGGCCACAGCGTCTTCCCGGTAAGATAAGAGGGAGGGTTTTTTTAAATCGATGATCTCTCTCTCTCTCTCTCTCTCTCTCTCTCTCTCTCTCTCTCTCTCTCTCTCTCTCTCTCTCTCTCTCGCTCGCTCTCTCTCTCTCTGACTGTCTGTCTGTCTGTTCGGTCTATCTGTCTGTCTGTCTGTCTGTCTGTCTGTCTGTCTGTCTGTCTGTCTGTCTGTCTGTCTCTCTCTCTCTCTCTCTCTCTCTCTCTCTCTCTCTCTCTCTCTCTCTCTCTCTCTCTCTCTCCTGCCGCCTCTCTTTTTTCACTCTGTCTCTCATTCTGTAAGTTCTCCCCTCACTACTAAACACATGGTCTGATACATTAATTGACGAACATACACAATGAGCCATTCAAAAAGCACATAAAATAGTGAACATGGGAGAGCCGGGAAGGGGAGAGAAAATTCCAAATATAGTATCAAAGAACGATTTCCTTTACGCGTGCAGTATTGCATACAGACGTATCTCAAAGGCCGCCAAAATGACTTACGTCTGTATGCAATACTGCCCTCTCTCGACATTTTATAAAGGCATTGTTCTCTTGCAACGAAATGAAAGAAAATGAAGAAAAGAGAAAGCGTAGAGTTTGATAGTTTCTTTAATTAATGACTATATACGAGTCTCGGAATTCTGCCTTAAGTTTTTGAAGTTTCATCTAAGATTCTGAACTTTTTGTTAGTTTGTTTGTTCGTTCGTTCGTTTATTTGTTTATTTGCTTGTTTGTTTGTATGTTTGTTTGTTTGTTGTTGTTTTTCTTTCAAACTTGAGGCTTTGATGCGAGAGAGAATTATTTAATTTTTCTCAGTTTTTGTTGAATATATCCCTATAGACTGGAGTCATGGAAGAGACCGTGTGCCATAACATTAGCGCGCATTTCTGCTAAGATAACTTTATGATTTCAACAACAAATGCACTGTCAGAACTTGTTTTCATAATTGCTTCTACAAAATCTTTCAGCAGTAACGTTTGCTACCGTTTTCATTCACCTCAGATGGTCCGTGCCATCGCCATGCACAATCGTGGTGGAGGCTGGGGAGGTCCCATTGTGGCGTCACGCCGTGACGCAGAAGGACCGGATGTGTCGTCACTCGTCAGCTCTATCCAAGAGTTGCTGGAGAAAGCCAAGAAAGGTATTAAAGGCTGATTAATTGGTCACCACAAAAATTCGCAACCGCACACCTTAGGTGTTGAAGAATTACAGGGCATAGAGGTTTGCAGTGCTAAGGTTACTCTCATTTCAGTCGATTGCTCACAAACGACAAGAGTTCGATTCTTGTGTCTGTCTGCTATGATGCTATTTCCCACCTTATCAGTATTTACCTAGAGTAGCAGAGTTGAAGCAACCTGCTCTTTAAGGATCTGAAAGAGGTTTAAAAGATTACCCTCAATCAATTATTGAAAATCTGGACTGGCTAACGAGCGCGTATCAAACTTAAGTGAACAAGAATAAACTTTATTTCTAAGGGCTTCCTGCAATTAACTTTTCAGACTACACAGTGTCGATGTTCCTGGATAATTGTTTGTTTACCAAGAGCGAATTGTGACGTTTTGTTATCTCAAATAAGCCTTTGTATTTCTGTATTTCTTCGTTTTTCGTTCGTCATGTCTGATCTTAAAAAAGCACCCCATGAATTGGCCTATCTATCTATCCCTCTATCTATCTATCTATCTATCTATCTATCTATCTATCTATCTATCTATCTATCTATCTATCTATCTATCTATCTATCTATCTATCTATCTATCTATA